TGTTGTTGTTGTTGTTGTTGTTGTGGTTGTGGTTGTGGTGGTGGTGGTGGTGGTGGTGGTGGTTGTGGTGGTTGTGGTGGTGGTTGTGGTGGTTGTGGTGGTTGTGGTTGTGGTGGTGGTGGTTGTGGTTGTTGTTGTTGTTGTTGTTGTTGTTGTTGTTGTTGTTGTTGTTGTTGTTGTTGAAATTGAACGGCATTGTCTTTCCTTTGTTTTTTTGCACTGCAAGATAGCCAGGGTCATAACATACACCTTCTTCAGTAAGAAATCAGAAGACCAACAGAACGTGAAAGCGACAGTGTTTCAATAACGAAGAGTCATTGATCCTCTCTGACCCTGTCTAGTGTTTCCTTCTGATTTCTCCAGGTGCTTTAGCTCATCTGGCGAACCATCAAATGCGTCCGACTACCTCTGGCTTATGGCAAAAGGGCATTATGCCCCGGTGATTGAGTATTGTGGTGGGACAGAAATCGGTGGTGCTTATATCACCGGTTCACTTGTCCAGTCTCAGGCGCTTGCATCATTCAGCACACCTGCCATGGGATGTAGATTTGTCATCTTGATGGCTGATCAGTATGCTCATCAGGTAGGTAGTTGGCGGATCGAAACGATAACATTCCCAGATCCCACCTTTTCTGTTATGGCACTAACTTACTAATTTTTTAACTTTCCGTGGATGTCGTGTTTCTGCATTCATTTTATGCACAACTGTTACTGCTTCACCATTCCTAACATCTACACAAAACACCAAACCTTTTCGGCCGTGAATGTCATGCTGCACGGCGCGCACACCAAGTTCCTTTGCTTTTGCTGGTTGCTGTCACCGTGGTGATCATTCGACGTTCATCTCCTCGGCTGAAACTTGAATTTTGGGTCTTTTCCACTCTCTTTCGTTGTTTGACACGTATGGGAGTGCGTGGAGTTGCACTCTGTTGTTGTATGCATTGTCCTTTGGGGGCGAACATCTCTCTGATAGATCTCCTGACATTTGCTGAAATCACGTGAATGCTTTGATACGTCGTGTATGTTTGGTGTGCTGGAATCATTTTCTGGCTGTTCGATATGCTGGGCCGTACATTACAGCCATTTTGTGGGCATGAGCCGTGGAACAAACAGGAACAACCCTGTGGTTGGAATGCACATGACCGCGACCATGGAAGTCTTAAAAATAGAAAGAACAGAAGCAAACTTTTCCTTTGTGCTTTATGAGAGAGTGCCATGAAAAGCGGCTGTCCTTGCGTCTGATTGCAAAACAAAAACAGGAATGCACCTCGCGGAATTGAGGAAGAGAATAAAACAGCCCTCTGGTTGGAACGCACCTGACCACAGTTGTGGAAGAATTCAGAACAAAAAAGAACAGGAGAGCAACGTTTTCTTCCATGCTTTGTCATTGAGGGCCGCAAAAAAATGGCCCTCCTTGCGTCAGATGGCAGAACAGAACGGAACACACATACAGATGTCTAGTTGGAATGCATCCAACTGCGGTTGTGGAACAGTTCAGAACATACTTGCAAGCGTACGGACCGGACGAGCATCCGGTCCGGTCCGGTTTGCCGGGTCCGGCACCCTCCCCCTGGACCGGACAGAGCCGGACCGGACCGGACAGTCCCGGACGGAACCGGACGGGGTGCGGTCCGGTGCCCTTCCGTCCGGTGCGGTTCGGTCCGGGACTGGAGCGGTGACTTCCCCGCACCGTCCGGATTGGTAGGGACCCTTTTTTTTTTTTTTTTTTTTTCAGTTTCCGCAGGGTAGGGGCCACTGTTGATGGAGGAGAAATAGACAAGAGATGGTGAAGAGATGGACGAGAGATGGAGGAGATATGGAGGAGATATGGAGGAGAAATGGAGGAGAGATGGAGGAGGGATGGAGGAGAGATGGGTGTAATAGAGAGAGAGAGAGAGAGGGAGAGAGAGAGAGAGA